GTGTTTAATGCCTTGTTTTTTTTGTATGTGTCGAGTCACCGATTCTTCTTGACTAAACTTGTTTTTGAGTTACTTTGGAGACATGTTTATGGACTCAAGGAGAGTAGTAAGCTTTGGTGGACAATGCTTGAGCAGTGGAAGCTCGGCAATGGATGGTTACCAAGTGCAAAACTCCTTGAATAGACGTAACCAAGATGTGCCTGAATATATATCTTCTGAAGATGGTTTAAGGAGATTAAAAGCTAAACTTAATGTTATAACGTTAAAAGTTCAATTGGACACCATTATGCATGATATTGAACAAAAGAGGAATGTTAATGTTTTTAATTCTAATCATATGATTTGCGATTTGTGTGGAGGTTATCATGCTATTCATACGTATAGGTAAGCACAAAACCTGAATTATTTTAATGAATTTGGGTATTGCAATCCTTATTTTGATCAATATGGTCCTAATTGGGGTAATTCTAATGCTTATGGTTGGAATAATCAATGTGCTAATAGAGCTTCTTCTTGTTTATATGATTACCAATCCGAATATGTTCAATATGAATCTAAACCATTATGGGAATTAGCATAAAATGGTTAGCTAATGTATCTTTACCTTGGAAATTAAAAAGTGAACCATTAGCTAATGATTCTAATGCATCTTGGGAGCTAGTCATAGAAAATTCTTATAATTAATTTGATTTAACTATAGAAAAGCTAGCTAATGCAATTTTCGATTGTTTTGTTAGGGTTGAGGATAGATTAGATGAATTAGTTTCTCATTTTGGTAGAATTCAAGATCAATTACATGCATTGTGTGAAGTTATTTCTTCTAATAATATACAAAATGACCTTAGCATGTTGCATGTGAAAATGGATTGCATTTTGATGAAAATGATGCATCTAATTTGAGTTCCAATGAAAAAATGTCCATTTTTCATGATAATATCTTTGGTGTTAACTTTGAATCTCAAGGGGCAAGCATTAATGACTCATTTTTTACCCCTATTGGGAAATGTGTTGAAAGTATAGTTTTTAGAGGTATTATCGCCCAAGAAGGTTATATGGACATTCCTTTTGTGAGTACTCAAGTGCTACACATTCAAGATAATATCTATGAAACACTTGAAATAGGTAAGTTTCTTCCATCTCTCATATCATTAGATTATGTGGCTTTTGCTATCAAGCCACCATTTATTGATTCATTTTGTCATTTAATGGTGGATTATTATTGACAAAACTTCCTTGAAAAATGAAGTAAAATAGTCAAGTTAATGACTATAAAGAAGCGCTGGTTGGAACGCAATCCAATGTTTGTCTAAATTTATGTTATTTTGATGTAATTTTATGTTTAAATCATTTATTTAAGTTAGTTTGTTGTTTTTCATTTGTAGGATTGGGAAATAGAAGCAAAGGTAACCAATTGAGATTAAAAGGATGAAGTCTGATCAATGATCTCAACATCTTAAATTGAGTAATTGTGATTTTTAATCCGTTAAAAGAGGGTTAGAATGCATGTTTAGATCATTTTAAATATGTGTGAATGTGTTATTTTGACATAGGAATGATCTAGGGTGTACTTTAGAAATTGGCATGCACACGACTTTTAGAAAATTTTAGAAATTTCTGCACTAAAATTGCAGAGCATAAAATGCACACACTAAAACGCAGGTTGGCCTCGCATTTTATGGTCGTGTTTTATTGAATTTTCAAGAAAATTTGAAGAAAATGCAGGCAAAAACGTGACCTTACTCGCGTTTTTAGTCTAGATCAAAAAAATTGAAAACACAGGCTATGAAATGCGACTAGGGCCATATTTCCTTTGCCTACGTTTTAGATTCTGCAACATCCAACCATAAAATGCGATCCCAGAAACGTGACCTTTTGTCCCCGGATTTTCACCCTCTTCTTTTAAAAATCAGAAATGCAGGCTATTCTTTCTTTTCTTCCTTTTCTTCTTACTCGTATTTTCTTACGCTTCACACATACCTTCACAAATTCTCTCTTTTACTCCATTTTTTTGCAAACAAATATCAACCAAACATCTTTTAACCTTTATAGATCCTTTTTAACTGATTAAAATCCAAAAAAAAAAAAATCTCAAAATCAGCTTTCAAAGAAATTGAAGGTTAGGGTTCATAGTTCTCAAATTCATCAATTGGAGGTCAATTAGAGGGTGTTTCATAGGCATTTTGCATAATCTCCATCACCAAGTATCCTTCTATTTGATTGAGATAAGTTTCTTCATCAAATCTTTGCATTTTAGAATTTAATATTATTCAATTTCCTGAGTTTTTTGATATCTTCTATTTTTGAATTTTTGATGATGTTTATTGATATTTTTGACCTCTAATATGCTTATTAAGGTTGTTTAAACATGTTTACATGTTAAATATAGCAAATTTATGGACTAGGAGTTCTTAAAATTTAAATTTGCTATATTTGGATAAAATAAAAAAATAACTTGGATTGTTATTTGAGCCTTTTTGATTGATGATTGTGACTAAAAATGATTGGTTGATGATGTTTTATCATATGCATTGTGTATAGAGAGTAATTTTGATGAATTTTGTGATTTATGGGGATAATTTTTGCTTAATCGTGTTTATAGCAAAAAGTGGATTACCGTTGCTAATTAATGCTTGTTATAAACTTGGTTATTACTAATTTCAATAATTGAAACATATTGTGGCCTATTTTAATAAATTGGTGATTTTCGCTATTTTTGGCAATTTTAATGTCATGTCTCTCGTGTTATAATATTGGACATTGCTGAATATTTAATTGATTCTTTATGACATGAAGATGTGAATTTGTGGTTATTTGAGCCAATTTTAACCCGTATACATGAATGATAATTTTATAAAATGGCTACGATTTCTATAAGTGGAAAGATTCTTCTTTTAGGTGTTTTATAGGATTTAATTCTTGTATAATGTGTAATTGTATGATGTTTTAGATAGATGTATAAGAAGTTTAATGATTTTTTCTTTTTAGACACCACGGTACGAAGAGGTCGAACTATTATTCATGAATCTTCTAGTGAAGAAGAAGTCGAGAGAACACCATCTCCGGTGCCCTAACAAAGGAGATTGCGAAGAGACTCATGTAGGTGACCACTTCCTCTGAACTACGATGTCGAACGATTCATGTCAAAAGATAATCAAGA